GTGATGTTGGTCTCATGTTTAGCAACACAGTCGTGTGTGAACAGGGAATATAGGAGGGGGCTAAGCACACAACCCTGGGGCGTACCTGTGTTTAGGATGAGTGATGAGGAAGTGTGCTTACCAACTCTCACCACCTGGGGCCTGTCTGTGAGGAAGTTTAGAATCCAACTGCAGATCGGTGTTCCCAGCCCAAGGTCGGCGAGCTTCGTGGCAAGTCTTGAGGGGATGATGGTGTTAAATGCCGAGCTGTAGTCGATGAAGAGCATTCTTGCATATGTATTCCCTTTCTCCAGGTGAGTGAGGGCGGTGTGTGTTGCCAGGGCGATGGCATCCTCTGTGGCTCTGTTTGTCCGATAGGCAAACTGAAGAGGATCCAGTGTGTCAGGGAGGGAGGAGCAGATGTGACATTTGACCAGCCGCTCCAGGCACTTCATGATAACGGATGTCAGTGCAACAGGACGGTAGTCATTCAGACAGGAGACCACTGATTTTTTGGGGACGGGAATGATGGTGGATGCTTTGAGGGACGTCGGGACCACTGACTGCCTCAGGGAGAGGTTGAAGATGTTGGTAAACACCTCTGCCAGCTCGTCTGCACACACTCTGAGTAGCCGGCCTGGGATGCCGTCTGGTCCTGGAGCTTTGTGAGGATTGACCTTTTTAAAGGCCCATCTCACAGCTTCTGTTTCCAGAGTTAGAGTTGCAGCCTCACTGTCCTCTTGAGGGTAGAGGATCTCCTCTCTGTTGTCTGCATCAAAACGAGCATAGAAGTTGTTCAGCTCGTCTGCGAGAGATGCAGTGGGCTGAACACTGACTGTGCTGACCTTCTTGTAGTCAGTGATGCAGCGCAGTCCATTCCACAGTCGCCTGGTGTCAAAGCTGTGGTAGCCGGACTCCATTTTGTCCCTGTAGTCCTTTCTGGCCTTTTTTATGGACTTTCGGAGGTCATACCTGGCTGCTTTATATGCGTCAGCATCTCCAGAGTTAAAGGCAGAGGTTCGCGCTTTTAGCTTGGCGCGAACGTCTTTATTTACCCAGGGTTTCTGATTTGGGTATATGCGGACAGTGGTTTTTGTGATGATATCATCCATGCACTTCCCAATATATCCAATGACAGAGTCTGTGAGTTCATTGATGTTGCCATCAGCTGCATCCACAAATGTCTGCCAGTCAGTTGTCTCAAAGCAGTCCTGCAGGACCTCCTCAGCCTCACTGTCCCATTTGTAAATAACTCTGGAAGCTGGTTTTTCCTGTTTTAGTCTTTGTCTGTATGCAGGCAGCAGCAGAATGGAACAATGGTCTGCCTTACCAAAAGCTGGGCGGGGGAGGGGTTTGTAACACTCTTTGAATGGAGTGTAACAATGGTCCAATGTTTGATCACCTCTTGTGGGGAAGGAGATGTGCTGATAGTATTTGGGGAGAACCTTCTTCATGTTGGCTCTGTTGAAGTCTCCCAGCACAATAAAGGCAGCTTCTGGATTTTTGTTCTCAAGTCCAGTGATGATGTCATACAGTTCGTCCATAGCCGTGGCTTTATCAGCGTGTGGTGGAATGTAAACAGCTGAGAGGAGAACTGAGCTGAACTCCCTCGGGAGGTAAAAAGGCCTGACTTTAACGGTCAGGAGCTCGAGGCTATGAGAGCAGTAAGTTTTTAAGATACACACATCTCTGGCCCACAAGGAGTTAACCATAAAGCACACCCCTCCTCCCCTCTTCTTGCCTGAGTCCTTCGTTCGGTCTCCCCGGTAAACAGTGAATCCATCCGGCGTGATGGCGCAGTCGGGGACGCTGGGCTCCAGCCATGTCTCCGTGAAGGCCAGAACGCAGCAGTTCCTGATGTCTTGCTGGTGTTTAATCCGTGCACGCAGCTCGTCAAGTTTGTTGTCCAGAGACTGGAGATTCGCGAGCAGGATGCTGGGGAGAGGTGGCTTGCTGTTTCTCTGTCGCGTTCGGCACAAAACTCCAGCACGTTTTCCCCTCTTTGTTTTCCCTCGACGTCGTGCGAGTAAACAAAGGATCCCAGGCAGCACAGCGTCCACGGAGTCAAAACCTGCTGTAAAGTCCGAACTGGCTGATGAACGTAGCTCCAGAAGCGCTTGTCTGTCATACCGCGTGTATGATCGCGCTGTGCGCACAGTAATAGAGAGCAGAACAAAATAAATAATAAGATTTTTGCTGAGATGACTGGGAGCTCTCGTCGGTGCTGCCATCCTACGGCGCAACCACTCCTTTGTCTGTTCTTGTGTCTGTTCTAGTCTTGTTAGATCTCAGTGCTGCCTTTGACACAGTTGATCACAATGTTCTTTTAGAAAGACTTGAACATGTTGTAGGGATCAAATGAACAGCATTAGGCTGGTTTAAATCCTACCTGTCTGACAGATTTCATTTTGTAAATGTACATGACAAATCTTCTTCATACTCCAGGGTTACTTGCGGAGTACCACAGGGTTCAGTGCTTGGGCCAATTCTTTTTACTATATATATGCTCCCAATTGGTAAAATCATTAGACAGCATGGGATAAACTTCCACTGTTATGCTGACGATACTCATTTATATTTATCCATTAACCCTGATGAACCTAATCGGTTGGGTAGATTACAGGCTTGTCTTGAGGACATAAAAAATTGGATGACTCTTAACTTCTTGCTTTTAAATCAAGACAAGACGGAAGTTCTCATCTTTGGACCAGAAATCCAGAAAAGGAAATTGCTTAGCCAATCGCCTGACCTTAATGGCATTACATTACCTTAATGGCATTACATTAATCTCTGAGAACAAAGCAAGGAACCTTGGTGTTATCTTTGACCAGGACATGTCATTCAAATCCCAGGTTTCACAAGTTTGTCGGATTTCCTTTTTCCACCTTCGGAATATTGCTAAGATTAGAAGCATACTTTCCAGGAGTGATGCTGAAAAACTAGTTCATGCATTTATTACATCAAGACTGGATTACTGTAATTCATTACTCTCAGGAAGTCCACAGAATGTAGTTAAAAGTCTTCAGCTTGTCCAAAATGCTGCAGCTAGAGTTCTGATGAGAATTAAAAAGAGAGAACATATCTCTCCTGTCTTAGCTTCCCTACATTGGCTACCTGTTAAATTCAGAATAGATTTTAAGATCCTTCTTCTCACATATAAAGCTCTTAATAATCAAGGTCCATCATACATCAGTAATCTGATTGTTCCATATGTTCCTAACCGAGCACTTCGCTCTCAGACTGCAGGTCTACTGGTGGTTCCAAGAATATCTAAACTTAGGATGGGAGGCAGATCTTTTAGTTATCAGGCTCCTCTCCTGTGGAACCAGCTCCCAGCTTTAGTCCATGAGGCAGACACTTTTTCTACTTTTAAGAATAGGCTTAAAACATTTTTATTTGATAGGGCTTATAGTTAAAATCTGATGTTAGCCTAAATCTGGACAAGTGGGGGATTACAGGGAGGTGGAGTGTACAGTCGGTAAAGACGGCTCTCCCTTGCCCTGCCTCCAACATGCCTACATCTAAATAGGATAGGTTATCCAGAGTTAACTCTGTAGTTATGCTGCTATAGGCTTAGACTGCTGGAGGACACACTGACCACTTTTCACACTCTACTACTTTCTTCTACAGTCTGCTCTTTAGCTGTACTATTTTGTGCAATTTCAGCTGTTAACTTTATTTTCTCTGTAAGTGTTTTTCTCCCCAGAAGAAGCTACAATGCTGAGCTGTGGTGGCCTCATGGAGGGGGCCATCGACTAGCACACTGCTGCTAACCACTAATACATTCTCTCTCTCCTGATAATAACTTTTTGTTTTCATTGACTTTTGATGTGCTAATACTAGTCTATCCGTTTAATTATAGATCCACTAGGATAAATACAAGAAAGTTTATCTTTCACCAAATACAATATTTACTAAGACATCGCAATATAACTATAGACACATTACTTGTCTGTGTGTGTGTGTGTGTGTGTGTGTGTGTGTGTGTGTGTGTGTGTGTGCGTGTGCGTGTGCGTGTGTGTGTGTGTGTCTGCGTGTGTCTGTGTGTGTCTGCCTGCTCTGTCTTCTCGATCCCCAGTGAGTCGTGGAGGATGGCTGCTTATACTGAGCCAGGATTCTCTGGAGGTTTCTTCCTGTTAAAAGGGAGTTTTCCTCTCCACTGTCGCTGCATGCTTGCTTAGTATGAGGATTGCTGTATAGTCACTGACACTAGTCAGTGACTTGATGCAATTTGCTGGGTTCCTTATATAGGAAACATTATTTCTGATTGGCTTAATGAACTGTGAATTGGAATGTTTATTATGTGAAGTGCCTTGAGACGACTCTTGTCGTGATTTGGCGCTATATAAATAAACTTGAATTGAATTGAATTGAATTTAAGATTTTGGTTCTGGCCTACAAATGTTTACATGGCCTTACTTCTAGCTCTTTATCTGGAATTCTAGTGCCATATGAGCCATCTTGTGGATTAAGGTCAGCTGACCCAGTGAGCAGAACTAACTGTCATCACAAGCTGCTGATCTAGAAGCATGATGCTCATTGTTATTTTATGGGTTACAGACGAGTGTTGATGCTCCACGCCGTGATTTCGTTGTAGGATACAAACTTTACAGCACTCTCACGGAGTAAAGATTTGGCAGATATGTTTGTTTACATTTTTGCCCCTGCGCGCCTACAGTGTTAGGGAAAGGAAGGGAGAGGCCGACGTGATGCTGCTGTCAGGGTATCTCTAGGCTCCACAGTAGCAGCGACGGACGGCTGGTTTGACCGGCTCTGAGAGGCGTAAATCAGAATTTGCAGATAGCATTTTTTTTCCTTCTACCAATCGCATAGTGATGTCTGGACTTAAAAGCAACTCATTAGATTCATAGTTAATTGTTAAAGTAGTGCATTACCATAAAAGTAATGTGTTTACCAACATTGGTTATGTATATTACTGATTGCAAAACCCTCCTAGGTCTTTTGTCTTGTCCTTTTACTGAATATTTTTCTTTTATATATTTCTGCTTGGTTCACTGCAGTTTCAAGGAAGAGAGAAGAGACGGATGAGAAACCTCTGCTCTTACATTTCCACAACCATCAAATGAAAGACGGAGGTGTCCCAACCAGCAGCTTGGCTGGGCAGATGACAGCAAACGTTGGTGGAGGAGCAGAAACTAGCAAGAACCTAGATCTGGACCTTAAAGAAAAGACATCCGATTCTTCAGAGATTGAAGTTAGTCGAGAAGATGAAGATGATTTGAATCTAGATTCTGAGCGTTCAAACTCTGGGCCTGAAACTGGAAACGGAGATCATGGCTGTAATGAGAACAAGTCTTCGGAGTCAGATATTAGGACAGCCAACAAATCATTTAGCTGCTCTGTGTGTGGTATACGGTTCCTCCACAAGTGGTCTCTTCAGGAACATGTGAGAGTGACAAGTCATTCAGCAGTAAGGTCTTCAGAGTGTTCGGTTAATACAAAATGTGTGAAAGAGAAGCAACATGGAGGCTCATGTAGAAAAGTCCAGAAAGAACCAAAATCATTTAGTTGTGATGACTGTGGAAAAAGATTTAGCCAAAAGTCCAAATTAACCCGTCAAATGAAAGCCCACACCGGGCAGAAGCCTTTTGCCTGTGAGCTCTGTGGATACAGATGTACCCATAAGGCAAATTTAAACACACACATGAGAGTCCACACAGGAGATAAGCCTTTTGCCTGTGAGCTCTGTGGATACAGATGTACCCGTAAGGCAAGTTTAAACACACACATGAGAGTCCACACAGGAGAGAAGCCGTTTGCCTGTGAGCTGTGTGGATACAGATGTACCGATAAGGCAAATTTAAACACACACATGAGAGTCCACACCGGGCAGAAGCCTTTTGCCTGTGAGCTCTGTGGATACAGATGTACCCATAAGGCAAGTTTAAACACACACATGAGAGTCCACACAGGAGAGAAGCCGTTTGCCTGTGAGCTCTGTGGATACAGATGTACCCATAAGGCAAATTTAAACACACACATGAGAGTCCACACCGGGCAGAAGCCTTTTGCCTGTGAGCTCTGTGGATACAGATGTACCCGTAAGGCAAATTTAAACAGACACATGAGAGTCCACACAGGAGATAAGCCTTTTGCCTGTGAGCTCTGTGGATACAGATGTACCCATAAGGTAACTTTAAACACACACATGAGAGTCCACACAGGAGATAAGCCTTTTGCCTGTGAGCTCTGTGGATACAGATGTACCCATAAGGCAAATTTAAACACACACATGAGAGTCCATACAGGAGAGAAGCCTTTTGCCTGTGAGCTCTGTGGATACAGATGTACCCAAAAGGCAAGTTTAAACACACACATGAGAGTCCATACAGGAGAGAAGCCATTTGCCTGTGAGCTCTGCGAATACAGATGTACCCGTAAGGCAAATTTAAACACACACATGAGAGTCCACACCGGGCAGAAGCCTTTTGCCTGTGAGCTCTGTGGATACAGATGTACACATAAGGCAACTTTAAACACACACATGAAAGTCCACACAGGAGAGATGCCTTTGCCTGTGAGCTGTGTGGATACAGATGTACCCAAAAGGCAAATTTAAACACACACATGAGAGTCCATACAGGAGAGAAGCCTTTTGCCTGTGAGCTCTGTGGATACAGATGTACCCAAAAGGCAAATTTAAACACACACATGAGAGTCCATACAGGAGAGAAGCCTTTTGCCTGTGAGCTCTGTGGATACAGATGTACCCGTAAGGCAAGTTTAAACACACACATGAGAGTCCACACAGGAGAGAAGCCGTTTGCCTGTGAGCTCTGTGGATACAGATGTACCCATAAGGCAACTTTAAACACACACATGAGAGTCCACACAGGAGAGAAGCCGTTTGCCTGTGAGCTCTGTGGATACAGATGTACCCATAAGGCAACTTTAAACACACACATGAGAGTCCACACAGGAGAGAAGCCTTTTGCCTGTGAGCTCTGTGGATACAGATGTACCCAAAAGGCAAATTTAAACACACATATGAGAGTCCATACAGGAGAGAAGCCTTTGCCTGTAAGCTGTGTGGACAAAGATTTAGCCGAAAGACAAATTTAAAGAGACATACGAGCATCCACACAAGGCTAGAGGGATTTATTTAACAACAGTACTTCCAAATGTACTATTTAGTTTTTTACAACCTTAATATTAGTCTTGTACCTCTGCTCAACTACCGTTGATCGGCCCTTGAGCCACCTCTTCTTTTGATTTTCATTTTCAAATCTCCTTTGTTTTTTAAACTCAGACCTTAACCAAACATTTGAGATGTTCATTCATGAATTCTGAATACAAAAAAATATTACTTAAAGATTAAGAAAAAACTGTTATACCCTCCTGTATTTAAGAAACAGACAAGATAACAGACACATGATGGTTGTAGTACATAACCCACTACAGTTTAAAGCTGTTAGATACCGGTGGCGTCTGCTTTAAACAATTTATCTGTATATAAAATAATAGCATACAATGTTGTAATAACTGCAGCTTAAAAACAATGTGTCTTAATTCATTTGGAGCCCCTAAGAAGAAATCCCACCTTAAAGGCTGTGGAGAGACAGCTGGGACTGTTGTCAAGAAGTCATAAATTACAAGGCGGCTCTGGAGACTCCATTCTCCTACAATAGCATTTTGCTATTCTAAGCAGGCTTAGGAATGTGCCTGTACCAGAGTTTTTAGGGATGTTGTTACAGAGTTATAAGCAGTGGACAGATGCTGGAAAGACAGAACCACTTTTGGGCTGCATGGTTCTCCACCGGTGTACCGATGCTTGTATTAACATGGACTAGATTGTAATAAACCGGTTATCTTTTTTAACTCAAACTTTGCCATGATTGAGTCATAGCACTCCAAGAAACAGCTCAGCATGAAAATGAACCACATTCCCTTTATTTCTGATGACACAACTAATCACTGCTGGTGGACGATTAATCACAGACACTTAGCACTTCTGCATGCGTTCTGTATTCAGTGTGAACGAGGCTTCACGCCCTCTCAGTAGCGCAGCATCGTGCGTGTTGGGTAATTTTTATATTACTCCCATATTACCTCAAAGAAAGTTTAGAGCACACACAGAGGGATTAGATTGATAATTTGGTCAATTGTAATCCTGCCAACAACAAACAACAACAAATACTTTGCAAAGGGTGAGAGAAATCAAATACACACCAGAGACGGAGGTCAGTTTGCTCTCACCCTTAGGCAAAGCCTTGGAGCTCCTTTTATTTAGGAAGGCACAGCCAGAAGTTACAGATAAACCCACACACACAATTCTTCAGAACCAGCTGACCGGGGTAACCTAATCAACAGATTTTTGGACCTTCATCTGTTCTCAGGAAGTTACAGATAACAGGAGGGTGATCAAATAGGTCATTCTTCACCACTCTAAAATGTAAAATAAAATTGATGACCCTCCGTTTAAACAAACACCTACACTGTTACATCAATAACCCTGTGACGTCAAAATCAGTTATATCCATCAGTGCGGTTGTCCTGTTCTGATTTTTTTCATGTAGTTGTGGTTTAGGCATTTTTTTGCCATTATCACTGATAAAAGCTGTGGGTTTATTCACTTGTGAATGAATTAAGCGATACAGATCACAGTCCAATGTTTTTGTTTTGTTTTGATTTTTAAGTAAGGTTCAGCAAATGCTGTCGAATCACTGAACGCCATCATCTGGGAAGTGAAATATGAACTGTTTCCAAGTACTGCTGTAATGGGCTTGCATACCACTAGGCAGAAGAAAAAATATTTGCATTTAGAGTCTCACTCACTGATTGGCTCTGCCACGTCAGGCTAACGTATGATTGGCTGTCCCTCTAACTCGCTGCCATGGAGACGACAGACCGGTGTTTTGCCTGTCTGCAGGAGTCTGCGTTCATCTACCTGTAAGTTTTTATTCAGCCTGCATCACGTCAGCTGGATGGATTTTAACCTCAGAGCTTTTGTTTACATTAATATTTGAGTCCGTGTGTGTGTGTGTGTGTGTGGAGCAGAGTTAGCATGTCAGACAGAAAAGTGAACATGAGAGACTTCTTCTGAAGTGAAACTAGAGAAACACAAGAACCACGTTATTTCTCATCTAGATTCTCCGCGTCATAACTTCTGAATGACTGATGGAATTAAAACAATTCCAAAGGTTTCAAAAAGGACATAAAACGAGCTTTCCAACGATGTAATTCACGTTACTCCAAAAATCGCTATTAGAGGGAAACCGGCTTTGCAGCATCACAGACAGAAACAGAGCGAACCGTGACGGGAGAGCGGAACGACCCGGAGGAGATCATCTGATCATCTGCATCAGCTTTTATAACGTTATGGAAACGTCACACAGAAAATCCACCTGGTTGGTCAGGTGTCCCAGAAGTTTCTGTAGCTGGTGACACAATGGACAAATTACAATCACACTTGTTTTTATTTGAACACTCAACTATTTACTAAATGATTCAGCTTCATTCCAGCATTATTTATACTTACAGTAAATATTAATTTAGCTGAAAATAGAAATTTATATCAGTGCAGAACTTTATTAGTTAAGTTTATGTCATGAAATGTTTAACTTTCACATGTTATTACCATGTATGTGGCTTATTGATCTTTATAATGCTGGTAGGAATGTAGCTACAGTTGTGATGAATGTTTGTTTATTTAAGGACCGTGTACAATATTAAACATACATATTGAAATTTGATGCATTGTACCAGATTTAACGTGAAGCTAATTCACATCTGCAGTCCTGAATGAATGAGTGTTATCTCATGTGTAGCGTCATGAATGGCCTCTAATTTGTGACAAAGGTCACATTTTCCCAGCTGGGTCAAGCTGGGTCGACTGTAACTTTGCCCCACAGATTAACCCGCCAGGAGCCGTGATGTCTGCTGAAACCATCTTTATCTGCTGCTGTTCCGTCCCAAGACGAAGGACACCTCAAGTTTCACAATAATTGTTTTAAATAATGATTTTAATAATCTCTTGACTTTATTACTGTTATTACAGCCATCATAAATAATCTCTTGATTCAGTATAAATGTATTTTAATTACTGGAATGACTTATTATGCTTGGGTATAATAATAATTATGGTTGATAATCCTAATGTGTGTTCAGTAAACCAGAAGGTCATCTTGCACGTTAGCCAGCCTCATTCAGAAGGGATCCAGGGTAAAGGGAAAAACCATCACATGTCTTTACTTCATGACCAAGCTTTCTGACACTGAGAGGGCGTGTTCTGAGGGTTTTGTTAAAACCAAATCCCACAGCAAAAACTTCAGTTCTTGAACATACCAGGAGAAGAGGGACGGCCGCCCGAATCTCTACTAAGCATTCTGTCACGCCGATAGAATTGCTCCGAATAAACGCACCTGTTTCCAGCTGACGCAAAACTCCTTCTGAGTTATTTTATTTTGAGACGCAAATAGTTTCACCAGTCGAGTGACCCACGGAGACATCTCAGGACCGATTTGGTCACACTAAGGTCCTACCAACCTCGTGCCTGGAGGAAACCATCTCCATCTGACATCTCGGATCCAGAAGAGGGTCTGCTGATACTGGGTGAGGTAGACACTTTTGACAGATTGCGTCTGTATGCCGTTTCTTCTAATAAACATCAGTAGCTGCAAAACAACTTTCCACCCAGAAACGCTTCTCTCGCTGAAAGAAACCTTCTGATATTCATTCACGCATTCAAAAACTCGCATTTTCATTTTAGCTTCCATTCAGTCACAGGTTTGCTTTTTAAAACAAGTTTTAACATCAAATTGTCTGTTAAAAATTGTCATTTCTAAATTGTCATTTTTTAAAAGTGTTAGTAATAAATTCTTAACTTTAAAAACTTGACTCTTCTTTGAAATGGAACACAGAATGGTGTATATTTCTGGTTATTGAAAAAGCAAAGATTCCTTTAAACTTCTGATTAAATAAACAAACTTTTGCTATTAAATTTAATTATCTTAAATTAAACATTAATCCTTGGATTAAAAGTAGACCAAGCTCTTTGGCATATGAACTTCTATCGAATATATAATATCCTAGATATTTATATATGATAAACAGTGTTGGTCAAGTTACTTGGAAAAAGTAATTAATTACTAATTACTGATTACTTCCCCCAAAAAGTAATCCTGTTACTTTACTGATTACTTATTTTCAGAAGTAATTAGTTACTTAATTACTTAGTTATTTTGTGAAAATATGAAACACAACCTGACTAGGCTATAAGTATATTCCGTCATATAAAATTCAATCATGAAACAGTCTGTTCTTAAATTTTTTTTAGTGGTTTTAACTTTTTCCTTTACAAACATTGCATGAACAAAAAACTAAATAAACGAATGCAGCCGGCTCTGATACAGTCAAAGAAATTAGTTTAATACATAAACCTGTTTATTGCACATTTCACCACATTTTAAGAATAAATCAAGTTTTTTTCTTATATTTCTGCACATACCTGCAGTTAAAATGACTAACCTTTGCAGTGTTTAAACTTAGAGTAAATTCAAGTGAAATACAACTAAAATAAAAAAAGAAATTACACTATTCCATTTAACAATTTTTTAGAAGTTGGTGAAGTGGAACTTACACTAATGACATAACAACCAAAACAGAGAATTCAGTTTCATGCTACATTTAGACCTAGTGTCAGTGTATATGGCTCACCAAAAATATATCATTTTCAATTATGTTTTCACTTTATGACTTATGACTATCTATCAAGCAAAAACCTGTAAATGTAACTGACTCCAGAACAGTTTAAGCAATGTTTTTTTTTCAAACATAAAAACCTGTTTTCTGCACATTCCACTGTCTCCTTCTGCATATTCTTCCATATAAAATAAAGTAAAACATTTTTGTGGCATTTACACTCACCTTTTAAAGCAAATCCAACTAAAACATTGCCAAAAAATAATAAAAATAAATGAAATTCAAGTTTCTTCCATACAGTATTTTTTAGAAGTTGCTGAAGTGCAAAGAGGACGAGTAATACTAATTCTACCACAAAAAAATAAATAAAAATTTCTGTTCCGTGCTACATTTAGACCCAGTCTAAAATTATGACTAACCTAAAATTTACCAGATGTTTTGTTTTATTTTGGAGTGAAGCAGTGGTTACATCGCATCAGCAGAAACTTCTCAAACCTTCTATCAGATAGTCGGTTTCTTTTCGGGGAAAGCACCAATCCACCTAAGCTAAACAGCCTTTCCACTGGTGCACTGGATGGCGTTGGAGTGTTGTACTTCATGTAAATCTTTTTGACAGTTGGAAACTGATTCAGAATCTCAAGCTCATGCCCTGACCTTATATAGTCAGTTACTTCATTTTCTGCTGACAAGGATTCTCTGGGTTGGATCTCAAAGTCAAAAAAGTCCATCTCATCTGGACTGGCTGGAGGTTGGGAGTCTTGGGGCCCGTCAGCAGTTGCAGCAGCAGTTGTACGACACTCTGTGATAAGAAGCTCCTTCACCTGTGTTAGGGAACATTTTGTAATGCAGCTTTTACCGTCACATATTATAAATGAACATTTTGTAATACAGCTTTTACCGGACCACATATTATAAATAATTATAGTAGAATAGCTACACGAGCCACTAGTTCCATTTAGACTGTTTATAACTAGACTGAGGGTCAGGATGGTCCCTTGAGAGTTGTTTGTGCTGATCAGCTTTTTCCTTGAGTAGACGACCGGACACGCAATGATGGGAGCGGAGTCGGATGGATAAACAGTCATATGTCACTTCTTACTTGCTTATCAAAGAATGTGCTGATGTGTGTACTCTGTACTGAATAAAAGACGCTCGAAGGGGATGAGCTCTTTGAGATTTGTCCAACTCCATACTGGGTCGGTTTGTTCTTGGTTTTTACATTTCTCCCTTTGCAAAGTCAAATAAAATGTTTCAGTTTCTACCTGTGCTTGTGATTCACTCTAGGTAACCTGTGCTGCTAAAATAACCCAACGACCTGCACTCGGCTACACTCGTCTCTCAGCCAACGCAGCTTAAACTTTGGACAGGTGGTCGCTGCAAGACGTCCTTCTTGGCTCTCCAGAACAGCATTAAAGCGAGTCTTGATGGCCTGTAACATACAATAAGATGTATCTAAGAATTTATGTATTTTATTATGTTATATTTACAATTATTTTCTCATTTAGATTATTGTGATAATAATTTGAATGAGATTCATTTATTTTATTTAATCTGACCACTTTATTTTAATCTTTTGTTGATAATATGATTAATGTTCATCACTAGTAATTGTTTTTAGGTTAGGTTTTTTTTTCTATCATTTTAAAATTTGTAAACACTACTTAACACACAGTAAAACATTCATATTCCATGTAGGGTGTTGAAAATACATAAATAAATGAACAGATTACTAAATCCATCCAATGCAAATATTAATTTATAACCTTACCTTGACGATGACATCTGGAAGGGTGGCTGTCATTTTAGAGAGGTCGTCTTTCAGGGCAAGTGTCTCTGACATCAGTCTTGTGAGTGTTGGTAGTAGAGCTCCATAAGGGCACTCATCTCCATGCAAGATGTCCAGAGCTACTGTCAGGGGCTTCATCACACTGATGTATTCTTTCAAGAACTGATACTCCTTTTCAGTAAAGCACTTGATTCCCAGTTTTACACACAATGGATTAAATTCCAGGGTTTCCCTTACATAGGCGCAGCCGTGGTGAGCCGCCACGGCTGAAATCCCACCGCCACGCCTACAACATCCCAAGTTTTATTGATGTTTTTTTTTTTTTGCGCCGTTTCCCGAAGAAGCAGCGGGAACTACTGTGTTGTTGCTTGTGATCACAGCCGGCAGGTAGCAAGGAGGAGGAGGCAGGGCAGGGTGGTTACAGCTATGAGCGTACGGATAAAGCATTTTTGATGAACACGAGCAAGAAACGAGTGTAAAACTCGTAAATTTCTGTAATCGTGCTGAATGAAATCCTCATTGGGTAACTGACTGTCTTCACGCTCTGTGATTGGCCAGTCAGATAGAGCGCCCGCCCCTCCCTACACACACTGCGACTTTTTCACTTTTTTGAGCAGATTTTCCACTCCTGCGAGAATCCACAGGATCGGGGCGAGTTTAGCGTTGAGCGTCGTGTAGTGTACAGGGGGTTACGAGAGGCGATTAACACCACGTGACCATCTACCGATCAGCAATCGTGAGCTCGCACGGACTTCTGGAGTGTTTGATATTTATCTCGTTCCTCTTGAGGGTTGAAGCAGCGCAGCGAGCGGCTGCGACCCAAAAAGTACCAGAACCGCTCACGGCGCATTCGCAATCCTGCATCAACTCCGCTCACCCGCTATTTCCCTAATAACACACGTTGTTCGTTTTTATTTCTACACGTTTTTTTACTCACAATGATTGTCAAGAAAGCGTGTTTGTCGTGTTCATGTCAAATTGTTGCAAGCCCGAGCAACCAGTCAAGGCTTAGAAACAGTGGTCAGAGACAAGGGTCACACAAGGGTCAAGAGGACAGGAGTTCAGGACTTGCTGGTGAGGACAGAACTAGGCAAAGGGTCAAAAGACAAGCTGTCTCCTCTGGATCCACCCATGGACACACCCCTGGGCCCGCCCCTAACTCCACCTCTGGCGGGAAAAGAAGGAATGGCATGGAGTGAGGAGAAGTCCAGCTGGACCCAGGAGCTCTCAGGAATGCTGGAGGAAGATCTACAATTTGCTACCAAC